ATAAATAGCACTTAGTGAAATAAGATAAATTAGTGTGAACTTGTTTGTTAGTTGTAATTAGCAACAGACTAACTGGGATGGAAGCTGGCCCTTATGTAGACCCAAAATAAGCGAAGGGATTAAGGAAATTTGAAGAAGAAATCCATGAGGCTGACAAAGTGTATATCAAATTATTGTTTACAGGGTAACTGCTTATTAATTAGAACCTTTAGGCTTTAGACATGCATTGCCATGAACTAGTACAATATGTACAATGTGAAAATATTTATGACAGATTAAATTCCAAGCAACCTTCAATTGTTGTGATATCTATCTAAATTTATAGCCAGCTTGAGGACGCTTCAAACGACTTTGTCCTACATGTGGAAGGCGTGCGCCTGGCTTTAAGAGAAGGTACTGTACAGTAATGCACATGAGACTGAAATAAATGCTACTTAAAGGAACAGTATATTGTAAAGTAACTATAAGAAAGAATAGAGGTATGAGAGAGGGATGTTTGAGACAGCTAACTAAAATAGATATGTGATATCACTGAGATTTTTAAGGCATGTCCATATAATGTGAAAGGGTAGTTCAAGCTCCCAAGGAAGGAGGCTTGATACAACCGGGCCCTGAAACAAAAGTAAAATGTCACTTTGCGCGAAAATTATCTCTAGTGGAAAACAGGCTTTAGTCATCTTTTCAAAGCACCAGAGGTGTAAGAGATGCCTTACATGCAGACTGCTGACAGAAATGAATATCACTCTGCTTTTTAAGGTGCCATATATTGTGAAAGTAGTGCAAAGGAAAATAGAGGTGTGAGAGAGGTGTTCCAGACCGCTGTAAGGTATTACAATCATCAACAACCGAGACTAACGTCTGTGGGATGCTGCGGATTACGACGAAATAGAAGATCACCTAACATCCCATTTCTTCCTCCCCCATGTAAGTTTGACTTCCTAACATGAATATAGTATAAGGATTACTGATACTTGAAGAAACATTATGGGGGTAACACCTATGAATTACATCATTCTTCTTAAACTCGTTGGCAGGTCCACTTCCAGTGGTAGCAATTGAATCGTCCTCATTTTCAGCAAACATGGCCAACCTTCTGGGTGATTCATGCTCTGGACTTGATGTCACTTTTATATTTCCCGACAAGACCACGGTGGAAGCACATCGCTTGGTCCTGTGTTGCACGTCCTCGCTATTTCGCCGCATGTTCCTCAGTCACCGGGCCTTATCGAACCTCAATGCTTCGGACCCCGATGAAGTTGGTGGAAAATTAACCAGTAAGGATATTAACGGTGGCCGCGTCGTCGGATTCGTCCTGGTGTCTAGTGACCGAGATGTGCCGTATGATTGCGTGTACTTTGAAGAGACCCTACGAATATTTTTAACATTAAGTGAAGATATCTCGAAAAATGCTTTTAAAAATGTCCTCAACTTTATGTACACAGGGAAGCTCAGTCTTTCGGCGGAAGCTGACGAGAAACAAACTGCGGCTATTCTTGATGTGGCGCAAACATTTCAAATCGATGTCTTAACGGACTTTTTAAAAAGTGACCAGGAAGTGTCCGAACTTGATTTGCACGACCAATGGAAGTCCGAGTTCGTTTCGTTCAACAGCAGGTTGTTTTGCAACTCGTCGCGATTCTCTGACGTTTCGTTTTGTGTCGATGAGCACCCTGTCCGGGCGCATCGTTGCGTGCTCGTTGCACATTGTGACTTCATGGCCGCCATGTTAAGTGGAAACTTTCAGGAAAGCGGTCAAAACGAGGTATGTTTAATATTGACGTCCACGTCAAACCGCAGTGTATTTAGGGCGAACTTTCGACAGAAGGTTGCATGGATTTACCAGTTATGCATAAAAGGTTAAGATGACCCTTTGCAGTATAGGTCGTCCCTCCTTTGCAGTATAAGTCGTCCATACAATTTAAATTGTGATGGCATTAGATTTGTTAGAGTTATATTCTTTGCTAAAAAAGAAGCAAAAATATGCGAACAAAATCGCTAATGAATGCAGCGATATCATGCACAATTCAATAAGACTTTGAAGCAGAAATTGACTGGTAAATTCACTCTCCTTCTGTATATCGATCTTGCATCACCCATTTCTGCGTCTTCACAAAACTGTTCTATATACCCACATTAGATTCCGCTGCCGTCCGTTTCACTGCACGGTTTTCTTGGATTCCTTCAATATCTTTACACGGATGATGTGAACTTTGAGCGACACAACCCCATCGAGGTCCTCAAGGTTGCCAATCAGTTTTGTTCTGCGCGACTTATTTCGCTGTGTGAGGTTTGTCTGGAGAAGAAAATGGAGACATCTCTGGCGAGTACAAGAAAGAAGAGTGATAAAGTCGGAGATCTCATTGAGCTGATCGTCATCGCGCAGGTAAATATATATTTTTTGAAAGCTGAATTTTAAGTTTCAACTAATCCTGCATAATTCTTCTGAACGGACAGAATTCAAGCCAGGGCCAATATTTCAGTGGTGTCTTCTAACGATAGTAGTTCGTCCATGGGACATTATATGTATAGGCAAATCATCATTTATGCGTGTATAGAAGGTGATTAAAATTTTAGCATCTTTTAATGATCTCACAGATTAACGAGGCTCACCCCGAGTAGAGAAGTTAACTCGCGCGCGATACTACCGCATTTAACTAGGTCTTGGCCGCTGCCGATCGGTAGGGATGGAGACACTTTTAACAGGAACATCTGGAGCTAAACGGTACCCTCTCCATCCCGAGATCACACAGTCACACGCGATTCACTGCGGTGAATCCGTGGAGTGAAGAAGAAATACACGCACAATAAACACACAATAAATACGTCCAAGGCATGCCACAAAAAACTTACCGAATCCCAGAAACTCGCCTACCCGGAGTCGCGAAAATGTCCAATAAAACTAGAACAAAAGAAAAAAGAACAAACCCCGGCACAAGGGGATAAGGACTGGTTAACCAAAAACGGGGAGGGGGACCAGAAGGGGAAGGGTGGGAGTTGACAAATGCACAAGTGAAGGGTAGGAGCTAAGCAAGTCATAATTATACTAACAGTAGGAGATAATACCGTTGGGCCAACGCCCGGTCCCGTGACAATAACAACATCTCTTCGACATTAATTTCGTGTGTATATTAGAAGAGTTGTATAGTTGCTTTTCTAAGTATGTGCACCAATTAAATTGATATATAATGGCATTGCAAGTTTAGTCTCTTGAAACAAGAGAAAATTCACCGTTTCTACCGATTTTTGTATCTTTTCAGACTCACAATGCTCATCAACTAGCTTCCAAGTATTTGTATTATATTGCGATAAATTTCGAAGAATTCAAAAAGAAGAAAGAATTGGACTGTTTATCAACGGACAACCTTGTTCTAATCGAGCAGCAGAGGTGGCCACCCCCTTGCTATTTAACGGAACTGAATGCTTATCGGAGGACACGTGACCGTGAATCTTCGTGCATTTTAATGTGAATACATGTACGTTTGAGGAGGGGTGGGAACGGGGGTAGGATGGGATGGGGACGGGGGAAGTGTACAAATCGAATACCATTTTCTTTTAAACACCGATTTTTTTTTATGTCACAAACCGTTTTTGACGATGTGAAATAGTTAGAGTTTATATTTCGTCCTTTCGGCGTGTTTGCATGTACTCGACCAGGTCTCCTTTGGGGTTCGTTGACACTTAGTTTTGGTCTATTGGTTCACGAAAGCTACATAATTTTGTGGACTTGTGGTCAAAAAAGACGAGCCGCAGTATAGGAATATACAGTAGACACATTTAATTGCGGCTTAGTTTGTGTCATGTTCTCATAGAGACCTAAAATAGTTTAAATCAATTTCTGTGTGGTTAAAGTCTTTAGCTATAATCAAAATCTGCAAGAGTGCGAGAGGAACTGCTTACATTGCATTAGTACCAAAAATATTGAAAGTTCCTCAAATGTTGAAAGCTACCAAAAACATGCCGCGTTTCTTGGTCAAAGCCGAATAATGATGAAAAGCATGCAATCAAATTGATTAAAATGAAAATATTATTAAATGCTTATACAACCAAGACTATGCATTCGGTCTAAATGATTGGCTGCGAGTCTAATCCGCTGTCAATCAAAAGTAAATATTGTTAATATGTAACATTTAAGAGGAGATTTTTTATATATTATATATGTTTGTGTATTTTGGCGAGAAAACATTCAAAACAAAATCTTTTTGGCGTACCATTCAAAGTTAATTTAGTTTACATTTATTCTTTAGATTATGTTGTGAACTATAAGTTTTGAACTGTATTTGGTGATTGCAAAACACCAAACGACTAGAGTTATTTCAAAATATAATGCGGCTATCAACAATGTTATAAATGTCAACGCTATATTATCACTGAAATGAATACAAAAGTAGCTTAGATTCAAGTGCCAATTTCTTCTCGGCGTATCCCAAGAAATCTTTTCATTTTCATAATATTTTGAAATCATACAGTAAACATACTTTCTAGATCCTTTTCAGGTTTGCAAAACAATTTTAATGTTAAAAATTTTAGTACTGTTGCATAAAGGTATATAAACTAAGGTTTTGAGCATATTACGTGACATAGAAAAATAATTATCTTCTCTTTAAATATATCAAAGTATTTTACATATTCCACGCATATGGTCATTATCTGGTCATGGCGGAATTTATCAACGATTGCGTTCGCTCCGCTGTTTTAAAATAATTCTCGAAAATCGAAACGCTCGACAACTGGTTCTCAAACGCAAGCAGGAGATAGCGGTTAAAGATTTACTTCTTGGGAAGCATGTTTTAGCCGTTCTCCCACAGGCTGGTTATGGGAAAAGCTTGATTTTTAAGTTGTTCTTGTTGGCCTTAGAAAATATGGCAAAAATAGATAAAGTTGGACGTAGTAGCGTTCTCGTTATTTCTCCTCCACGCATGCATGGTATTATATCGGATCAAATATAGCTGAGACGCTTTCGATGGACTGCTCAGCGGTGGAACTTTCGGATAAAAACGTTTCGGGAGTCGTCAAGTCTCCACCGCAATATATTCATATGCATGCGCAGAAAGTGAAATGAATAAAGCATTTCTTGATTCGCTCACGAAGAGCAATAATGCGATTAATCAATCCATTGCTTTTATTGTCGTGGACGAGTCTCATACTGTGGAAACGTGGACGGGAAAAGGTAAGAAAATATATTTTATCTCTAATATTTTCATTATATTTTGGTAAAAACACTTGTTTTTATGTACTTTGATAGAAGTAAAAGAGGGTCAGGCATCCAGACTTATACTTTCCAAATTGGATTGGATTGCCAACATGATAAAACAATATAATATTGTCATGCCAAAAACGATTCTATTTTGTGATACAATCTATGCTCTTGCCCAGGTAGTGAACTATTTATTAGTGAAACTGGGCACATATGCATTCTACCGAAGATGTTTGCATGCAATTGGATTTAGAATACCATTTGGGGTTTACGCCTTGGAGATATTTGACATTTTGATATTTGGGTTTACGTCTCGGAGATATTTGAATATGAGTAACTCATGCACGAACAAACTGCTCGACTTAAGACGTTTATTTAGGTAGTTCGATGAATTCATTTTGTTTTGAAGATAGTGCTTTTTCCTTTCTGAGAAAGCAACCCTCAGAGCTCAACCCCATGTAACGAAGTTATGGATCTACAGGTGGATGGAGGAAAGAAGGAACACAGTAAGGTAAAATAAATAAATTATTTTTTTATTTTCATTCTTCAAGTGAAGGAGATGCTATGTAATTGATAAACACTGCGAGATAATATTTGGTCAAATCGTTCAAATCTAGCGTTCAAATCATTGGTAGTGAATAGGCATCACAACATCGAGGAACAAGGGACATTACAAATGATTGCCACGACAAAAGAACAAAATAAAATGTGAAGCTCTAGTAATGTATGTAGACTGTAGTCTCATAAAGTCCATAAAGATTGGGTTTTAGACTGGGTGGAAGTGAGAAATGTTCTTCGACGAATAATCTTAAACTTTGTCATGTTTCCTAACTGTTTTACCAGTCTATTTTCCCTCTAAATATTCTTCTTTCCTGTCAAAATTTCTTTTTCTTTTATTAAAATTTTTTCAGCGAAATTTTTTTTCTTGTTTCTAAAATTTTTTCCTAGCCAAAATTTTTTCTATAATAATATAAGGTTGGTATCAACACACGATCCGGTGGCCTTGTGGTTAAGGCTACGACCGGCAAAATTGTAAGCGTAGGTACGAATCCTGCACGGAAAAGGTTTCATTTTTCCCACCGAAAGTACTATTTAATTTAAAATTCTTCGAAAACGATCTAGCCAAATAAAGAACAACAGCTTTAAACATTCAAAAATTCGTAAATTTCAACAAAAATTAGCGATTTTCGGAAATTTTTTAAAACGTGTTACATGTTAAAAATGGCTTCAAATATTTACTAGGCTAACACTATTTCGTTTTTGAGCATATTTTTTTTGAAGCAATGAAAGATTCAAAAATATAATTTCGGCCAACATAGTGACGGATACGCGTATCCCTACCATTTTGGCCAAAATTAACGATTTTCGAAAATTTTCTAAAATGTCTTAACATGCATACTGAAAATGAATAACAGCCGTTACCATTTTGGCTCAAATTTTGAAGTTTATGAAAGACAGTGCAGTTTTTTAATTTCCGATCCCTGAATAAATATACCAAATCTATCAAATTAATAAGCATTTACTAGTCGTTGCTTCATAATGGAAACGAAGATGTTGTGACGAGCGGATGGTAGCGTGTAGACTCGCAGCTTAAGAGAAGAAGAGTTATTTAATATCTTTTGCGTTATGTGAGAGATTTGGAATATAATTTCAGCGTTGAAATAAGTGGAAAATGTTGAAACATTCTAATGAATCTGAATTAACATTTTCCTCAAATTTTAATTTGTGACCTGTACAGTCGACTTGCCAAACAATTGCACCGTAACCGTTAGCTTCACCTGGGCCGCATATAACTAGCTTATGCCGACGGAATCCTGCTCCTTTGCTCATTGGAATCCATACCTGTGGCTGTGTTATTTTTCGTCAGCACAAATGTAGATATTATTAGGTTAAAACTACGGATAAGATTCAGTTTTGTGCGTTTTAGACAAGAAAATAAATTATCATTATCAAAGTAAACTGGTATAAATGTATGTAAAATCCTTGGAAAAAAGGTTGAGTAAAATAAAATAGTGAAGTAGTCTAGTGGCGAAGACAACAGTCTTCCAAGTAGTAATTCGAAGGTTCGAATCCTACCATAACCGTTTTTCATTATGAACTTCGTGAAAAGGATATAGTAATTTAAATAATCATAACCGTTCAGCAGAGGATCTCGTCGTCTAGTGGTCAAGACGTTGGTCTCATGTGTCGACAGTCGAAGGTTCGAATCTCGTTTTAGGTGGAAATTTTCGTTATTAATATTACATGGTAAGGTTATGGAGAATAAGTTGGTGTAGGCTTCCAACAATCACCAGTTAGCCTTGTGGCAAAGTCGTGGACTATCAAGTACAAGACCGAGGTATCAAGAACGGGATGGTACGTTTCTCATGGCGGTAAAAGAAAAAAAAAAATGGTAGGTATGTTGCTCCGGGGAGGTTTATACTCGGTTAATCTTTGGAAATTAAAGTTAATCTTTAGGGAAATCATTGGATAGATAGGGTGAATGAGGGGTATATGAGTACAAAAAGACTTAGTAATTGGGCGGCGGCGGCGGCGGCCTCGGCCCCCGGAGCAAGGGGGATGGGTATAGGTGAGAAAACAGTATATAAAATGTTTAAGTCTTTTTGTACTCATTTAAACCTCTTTACCCCTATTTATCCTCCAATTTACTCCTATCTATCCCTAATTTTTCCTATCCTCACATATCCCTAACTATCCCCTAACACAATTAAATGTTTGAAGAAAGCTCGTTTTGAACGTCGGGAAAGGCGGGGGAAAGAGAACCCCCCTCAGTCTACTCCTCGCCTTGGGCGAGGGCATGTTCGCCCTCTCGCTCTACTCCTCTCACACTCACAAATTCTCACTTTATTACCTTGTTCTTTTTCGGTTGATCCAGGACTTGAACCATCGACTGTATACTTGGTAGTTCACCGTCTTCACCACTACACCATCACTTCTTGTGGTGAAAGCCTACAGCTTTTTATTTTACTTAATCCTCTTTTGGAAGGATCTTTGATGAAATAGAAGAAAAAAACATTTCCCATCTGGGACTCGAACCTCCGCCTTTAAACTCGTAGAGCACTGCCTTCGCCAGTAGACCGCACGAGCTTGCAGTGAAAGACTATACCTTTGAATACCTTTTGAGTGGGATCTCAAATGTACTAACAGTTTAATTTAAATGAGTTCCCTTCTATGACAATGTTCATGATTTTTTTTCTCGTCTAAAACGCACACAACCGTGTCTTATTCGTAGCTCGTAACCTAATATTAACCATTTGTGTTGTCGCTAAAATATCACACTGACACATAGT